TTTAAGTTTAAGCAGACATTTGATTACTGCTTGGGATTTGGACTGTTTTTTTGGTACCCGGTAGGTTTTTTTTTGGATCTGTTTCCGGGATACAGGGTTTCAAATAGTACCGTTGGGTTGGGAAGTTTTTTTTTCAGAGTTGTTTCCGGGGTATAGGGTTTCAATTGGCACTGCTTCCGGGGTATAAGGTTTCAAACAGTACCGTTTGGTTGGGCAGGGCCCCTGCGGCTAAACTTCCACTTGCGGCCTGTGCGTCCCTATGGCAAGTCTATCCACTTGCGGCGTGGCAAGGCTATTTGGGCACCTCTGTGGGGTTTCTTTTTGACCTGTTTGGGTGCTGGGGCTGTTTGGGCGGCGGGTTTGCTAAAGGCCGTGACAGGGCTGCTTGGGTACCTGTGTAGGGTATCTTTTTGACCTGTTTGGGTGCCAGGGCTGTTTGGGTGGCAGGCTTGCTAAAAGCCATGACACTCCTGTTTGGGTACCTGTGTAGGGCTTCTTGTTGACCCGTTTGGGTTGCTTGCGAGCGGGGAGAGGCCGTGGAAGGGTTTCTTTTGACCCGTTTGGGCGCTAGCCTAGTCTATCGACTTGCGGCGTGGCAAGGCTATTTGGGCACCTCTGTGGGGCTTCTTTTTGACCTGTTTGGGCGCTTGCCTGCGACCTGTTTGGGCACGAGCCTGTGTGCGGGATGACCTTGGGCTGGACTCCTTTTCGATTTCTGGCTTCTTTTTGGTTTGTTTGGGTGCCAGGGCTGTTTGGGCGGCGGGTTTGCTAAAGGCCGTGATAGGGCTGTTTGGATACCTGTGTAGGGTTTCTTTTTGATCTGTTTGGGTGCTGGGCTGTTTGGGCGGCGGGTTTGCTAAAAGCCGTGACAGGGCTGTTTGGGTACCTGTGTAGGGTTTCTGTTTGATCTGTTTGGGTTGCTTGCGAGTTGACCTGTTTGGGCGCTAGCCTAGTCTATCCACTCGCGGCGTGGCAAGGCTATTTGGGCACCTCTGTGGGGTTTCTTTTTGACCTGTTTGAGCCAGTGTGCGGGATGCCCCTGGGCTGGACTCGATTTCTGGTTTCTTTTTGAGTTGTCTGGGTGCCAGGGCTGTCTGGGCGGCGGGTTTGCTAAAGGCCGTGACAGTGACACGGCTGTTTGGGTACCTGTGTAGGGTTTCTTTTTGATCTGTTTGGGTTGCTTGCAATCGGGGAGAGGCCGTGGAAGGGTTTCTTTCCTTTTGACCTGTTTGGGCGCTAGCCTAGTCTATCCACTTGCGGCGTGGCAAGGCTATTTGGGCACCTGTGTGGGGTTTCTTTTTGATCTGTTTTGGGCGCCAGGATTGTTTCGCGAAAGGCCGTGGCAGGGCAGTTTGGGCACCTGTGTAGGGTTGCTTTTTGAGCTGTTTGGGTGCTTGCCTGCGAGTGGGGAGAGGCCGTGGAAGGGTTTCCTTTTGACCAGTTTGGCCGCTAGATGGCGCTAGTGGCCTGTTTGGGCGCTAGCCTGCGCGCGGGGAGCGCTTGGGCCGGACTTTTCGTTTTTTTTTGGGGGGTTCGTTTTGATCTGTTTGGGCGCTAGCCGCTAAGCTTTTTGGGCGACCGGAACCTGTGTAGGTTGTTCACGAAACAGCTTTGCTGTGAGGGGTCCTCAATTCCCTGGGGCCAAGATGCTTCCCACCCTTTGTCTCCCCTTGTCTCCCATGGCGTGTCTGGATGCTGGGCTGAGATGATTTTGTTTTGTTTCCCTTTGTCTCCCTTTGCTTCCCTTGTCTCCCATGGTGTGTCTGGATGCTCGGATGCTGGGGCTGATTTGTCTCCCTTCGTCTCCCCTTGTCTCCATGGCGTGTCTGGATGCTGGCGTGGGTTCGCTTTGCTTTGTTTCTCCTTGTCTCCCCTTGTCTCTCATGGCTGAGATGATTTTGCTTTGTCTCCCTTCCCGTGGCATGTCTGGAGGCTGGGCTGAGATGATTTTGCTTTGTCTCCCTTCGTCTCCCCTTGTCTCCCATGGCGTGTCTGGATGCTGGGGTGGGATCGCTTTGCTTTGTCTCTCCTTGTCCCCATGGCGTGTCTGGACGCTGGGCTGAGATGATTTGTCTCGCCTTGTCTCGCAGGGCGTGTCTGGAGGCTGGGCTGAGATGATTTTGCTTTGTTTCCCTTTGTCTCTCTTTGCTTCCCTTGTCTCCCATGGTGTCTGGATGCTCGGACGCTGGGCTGAGATGATTTTGCTTTGTCTCCCTTTGTCTCCCATGGCATGTCGAGACCACTTTGCCTTGTCTCCCCTTGTCACGTTTCGGGTTCCAAGCGGGATTGCGAAAGGTTGTGACAGGGCGGTTTGGGCACCTGTGTAGGGTTGCTTTTTGACCTGTTTGGGCGCTTGCCTGCGAGTGGGGAGGCCGTGGAAGGGCTTCCTTTTGATCTGTTTGGGTGCTAGCCTGTGCGCGGGAAGCCCTAGGCAAACTTGTCGAAACAGCGCAGTGCAAAATAATACCTGCGCCCCAAACCATGTCAATAAAGAACCTTAGGAGGCACGGCCCCAAATGACCGGGTCCGTTTGAAACCTTGGCACCTCAACAGGCCAAAAAGGAACCTTGGGAGGCACTGCTTCCAAATCTACCAGGTCCGATTGAAACCCTGAATTGAAACAGCGCCCAAACAGGGCAAAAAAGAACCTTGCGTCCCAAACCATGTCAATAAAGAACCTTGGGAGGCACGGCCCCACATGTACCGGGTCCGTTTGAAACCGTGGCGCCTCAAAACAGGTCGAAAAAGAACCTTGGGAGGCACTGCCCCCAAATTTACCAGGTCCGTTTGAACCACTGACGCAAACTTGTCGAAGCAGCACCTAAAACAGTGCAAAAAAGAACCTTGCGCCCCAAGCCATGTTAACAAGAACCTTGGGAGGCACGGCCCCCAAATTTACCGGGTCCGTTTGAAACCTTGGCACCTCAAAACAGGTCAAAAAAGAACCTTGGGAGGCGTTGCCCCCAAATCTACCAGGTCCGTTTGAAACCCTGAGTCGCAATAGCGCCCGAAACAGTTCAAAAAAACCATGCGCCCCAAGCCATGTCAATACAGAACCTTGGGAGGTACGGCCCCACATGTACCGGGTCCGTTTGAAACCTTGGCACCTCAAAACAGGTCAAAAAGGAACCTTGGGAGGCACTGCTCCCAAATCTACCAGGTCCGTTTGAAACCCTGAGGCAAACGTGTCGAAACAGCGCCCAAAAGAGGGCAAAAAAAAACCAAACCCATAATGGACAATTTGTTGATGAGGTCGCCTTCAACAAGGCTACCATCCCACAGGCAAGAACCGTTTCTTTCGAGCAACTGTGCATTTTGCTGCACTTCTTGACTAGCTTGACTTTGCCGAATCCGAGAAGGATGAGGAGTGGGGTGGGCGGATGAGAGGGTGGATCCAAGCTGCTGAAGATCACATTCAGCTGTCAGGGGCCGCCCGCCAAGCGAGTAGCCGCACCTGTGAGGAGGCAGAAGTCAAACTAACATGCTGCACATATCACATTCGTCTTGATCCACATGCCAGGAAACTCGCAATGTGCTTTGGGGAAAATGTCATTTGACAGAAGCGCCCAGCTGTGCCAACCGCTGTGTCCTGCTCGTTTTGCCAGGCCACCCGTAGAGGCCAGCACACAATTTTGAGAGTACCTGCTACACTTACTTCTAGGCATCCTCCGGCACGCCAAGTTGGGTGTGCGAAAGTTGTCACGAGTCTTCAGTTCAGAACTAGACCAACGTTTTTGGATAGCAAAGTGTTCGCAGCATTCATCCCTGCTAGTCTCAGGATGGCTCTGCAACCACATCAGCATCGATTGAAGAGCTGATCAATAGCATCGAGGCTCGGAGGATCCTTGAAGAGCTGTGACTGCGAACCATTTTCATTGTCAAGGGTGCTGAGCAGGCCAATGTTTTGTTAGCCTGCACTGGCTCCAGATGGGAGTGCCTTAGCTCCTTCGCTGAAAGCAGATACTCAGGCATAGACTAGACTTCATTTTTCGGTCATCCCAAAAGCAAAGAAGGATGCACGGTGGTAGCGGTGGCTTCAACTTAGAAGTAACAGCCAGCACGCAGAGGTTTGGTGAGGGATCGAGAAGCAATTATTTTATCGTCCCATGAATACCTCGACCTTCTTTGTTCCTGGCATCTTTGAACACTTGATGCCTTGTAGCGTTGTGGTTGAGAGACCTTCGACGCGGAAGCTCGATGGTCGCGGACCTTGTCATGCCAGCTTGAGAGTCAAAAATAAGGGCCCCTATTAAAGGCTATTGAAGGACGTTCATACTACTAGGAGCACGGACGCTACTAGGAGCAAAGGGCATCGCTACTAGGAGCAATGTTCGCTACTAGGGGCTCCTGGCCGTACTACTAGGAGCAAGGACGCTACTAGGGAGCCTGGGTCAGCTTCGTGAGGCCTCGCCGCCTTCGGTCAAAAAGGGCCACGCGGAACACCTGGCAGAGGCGGACGTCACGGGTCGCGTCCACCGGTCGCGTCGGTCACATCACTCGGAAGCAGTTGACGTCACTCGCGAGGGTGGGGTGACTTCTTGGTGTGCTAAAATCTGCTAAATCGTTTGAGCCGATTCTTCTGGAATACTCTTGGCTCCTGTTCCTGAGCCCAGATACCATCAGATACCAAAGACTTGAGTCTTGTAATGCACCGTTCTGACAGCAAGAGATCAAGGAGATCAGAAGAGCGGGCAATCCATGAGCAAAGAATCTCGCGGCGGAGTTGCCCCCACATGTGATAGGGCTTGGCAACGACGTCCTCTAGCAGGAAAAAAGCATCTATCTCTATGGCCTTAAGATGCCTTAAGTCACTTAAGTCCAAAACAAATTGCCAGCATTCGCACACCTTCTACGGATCCTGCCTTGCGCGCTATATCGGCAGGCATTGGGGCAGACACTGCCAATCGAGCATATCAATTACTTCTTGCAAAGTTCTCAGCAAAGTTTTTGTGAAATTATGCAAATTCTACAGAATCCACGCCAGCCAAATCCGCAAAGACATGCCTGAGGCGGACTCTGAAGTCAAAAATTGTGGAGCGTGCGCAGGCAGATGGAGTTCAGGCTTGGAGGGAGAGAAGGTTGATGTAGTTCTCACAGCTTTGGATTGTTGTTGAAGTGGCAGTTGAGATCATGTATCTCAAGGATCCACAAACAAGAATCTGGATGGTTTGTCTTACCCAGGAAATGAAGGAGCAAGTGTGATTAATGCTAGCCTTGGCTCCAAAGGAGGCAGAAATGCATCCCTTCCAATAGCAGCACCTTAAATTTGGTGAGAACGATGGCATGTGATTTGAATTCATCAGTAAACAGTCCAGTTGACGTTTCTGCCAGGCCCACCCTACGCAAGCACCCAAGTCCGCGCCGAAGTCTGCACCAAAGCCTGCCCCCCCAAAGTCAGCGCCCCCGAAGTCAGCTCCTAGAGGCCGGGAGCAGAGCAGTGCATGTTTTCAGAGAAGCAACGTGAAGTCGCTGCAAAGCTTTCAGTGAATGTTACAGAAGCGGAACTTCTTTGTTAAGAAGTTCTTTGTCCCAGATTTTATTGTCTGTGAACCAATGAACGAAACGCTTCAGGAGAGGATGCCATGCCAGAGCCTGTGCCGGCCGCACCTGCCTCAGACGGTGCGCTGGATCCTTCGATGCCTTCAAGGCCAAGAAATCGAAGCAACGAAGACATCAAATGCCTTCAAAGGACCTAGTAGCGTCCTTGCTCCTAGCCCTAGTAGCGAACATTGCTCCTAGTAGCGATGCCCTTTGCTCCTAGTAGCGTCCGTGCTCCTAGTAGTAAGGCCAGGAGCCCCTAGTAGCGTCCTCAAAGGACCTTGCTCATGATTGATACCTGCTACTAGCAACATCCCACTCGCCTCTAACCACGCCCGGATTGGTGCAACCGTATCATTGTGCCATACCCAATTTGCCGAGCCAACTTCCGGTTGCTCCTGTGTTTCAGTCTTCTCAGATGTGAATTGAACGCTTGAGGCCACAACGCCCAAATCGGGCGCTGCGCCGTCGCTGGGGAAGGCGGTGGTGAAGGTGCCGGGCCTGGCAAAGGCGAGCCGTTCGGATCTTTGAGCTTTCGCGGTTCAGATGGTGGAGCCTTTAGAACAGGGGTCCAGTCGAACTGTTAAACTTCGGCCCAGGGCGGTGTGGGGGTGAACTCGTTCCGGAAATTCAGAGCATCAGAACTTTTTCATTATTGGATTGGCTAGCTCTACAGGAATGTTGGTGCAAGTGACAGTGATCCTGCGAACCAAAAGAGCGGAAGTTCCATCAGTTACTGCCCTTGCCCGGTGATGCAGGCTGCCTTGTCAAAGTCTGCAGGCATGATTGCCAAGGCGCTTGTGGAGATCGCTGCAAAGCCAATGTTGTTTGACCTGGCTGACGATACCTTGACAACGCCCTCCATGGCGCAGGCGATGGCAGAGACAACCAGTCCGAAAGCCAGTATTGCCAAGGCTGTCGGTGCATCGCTTTCGACGTCGCCGGGGGGGTCACCGGGAGGTCCGTCTTTGGTCGCAGGCACCTCCCAAGCGTCCAGACGTCCCCAAGAGCCGGTGGGCTTAGCTCGAGGGCGGTTTGCTTGGCCGTGACTTTCTAGGACAACCAACCATGGCTCTGATGTTCTCGTTTTGTGGTTCCAGGTTCTTGCAAGAGGCGAGGCATCAGATCCTTAGTGTACGTTGCTTCTTGAGCAGGTTTTGATTTGCGGTTTCTCATGATGTATGCAGCTTTAGGGTAGAAACACGTAGAACTCCTATTTTTAGAGGATGAGAATCTTGTATCCAGGCTCAATGATCATCTCCACATACATGCCACTCCGGCCTCTTATCCAGCGCGCTTGGTGGATTCTCCGAGGCAACCCAAAGCCGTCACCTCCGGCCAGCCCGCCGGCGGACATGCCGGATGACGCGTTGTGCGCTAGCGTGGGTCTGTTTTCCCGGTTGATGTGGGTGGTGCCGGTGGTGTAGCCCGAAGGCGGTGGAGGTATCCACGATGGTATTCATTTTACAGAATATTTGAACAGGACCATGGATGAGAGCTGTGATTGGTGTTTTTTTGACTAAGAATCCCATTTCCGAGTTGGTGGATTGTTGACGAGCTGGCCGCTCTCCCCGCTCGCCGTTGCTTTCGAGCTGCCGGTGTTTTTGGCAGTTCTTTGCAACAGGTACCAGTTGGTGGGCGAGCTCACTGAGGACACAATTGATGGTTGAACTTGGTTTGACACCTTTGGCAGTGCATGAGCCACCGTTTCTATTTTTATATGTGGTTGTAGAATGTTGTACTGAGATTTACCAACTCATTTGCGAGTGACTGTGGCTTTCTGAGATTTCCAGGAAATTTGCAGGAGAACAAATCAGAGACATATTCCATCATTGGGGGCAGTGTGCTGTGTGGGTAGGGACAAATGCATTTGGTTGGGGTATGTCCTGATTCTGTCATTTCCAGAGTCACAGTGTCCCCCACTTCCGATGGAAACCTTCGAGAAGCAGATGCAAGAGCAGTCCCATCCTACTCTATCGTTCTCATGGTGAATTGAAGGCCAAACATGTTGGCTGCCTACCCTTGTTGAGGTGTTTTGAACAAAGATTGAAAGACAAGATCTCTACAGATTGACACCGGATGCTTCCGGGATGATGCTACTGTACCATGATGCACTCCGCACTTGGAGGACCCCGTTGTTCAGGATGGCCTCATTTTAGAAGATAGGCTGAACGAGGCCATGCTTTGAGAGATGCTCCAGATTTTGTGAGATGTCTAATATCCTTGTACCGTATATATGTTGACAGACTATACAATACAATAATACAATATATATATACACACACAGGTGTATTTTGTGCGCGTCAACATAAGCTCGCAGACAAGATATTCCAACAAAGGACTTGCTCAAGATTCCAACACAACTTGGACGCAACTTGGCCGCTGCGTAGGTTTTCAGAAGACTGTGGGATGGCGCTGCTAGAAAACCAAAGGACCGGTGCATGCTGGACATCACACCTGTCTTGCCGGGTGTTCCTTTGGTTCTGGGGTGGCGACATCAGAAGTCGCTGGAAAAGGAGAGAAGCAAGCAACAAAAATCGAAGCTGAGATAGCGAGAGAAGGATACAGCAACTTGAGGCATTGCTCAGTCTACTTGTTGTCTTCCCAACAAAGCCATCATACAAACACGACAACATTATGTCTATTGTATCCTTCAACATCGGGCTCCTCAAAAAAAGAGGACACTTGAGCTCAGCCAAAATACATCGCTCAAACGATCATGGTTGCCTCAGGTCAAGGGAAGTCGAGGGAGTTGCTAGTACCTGGTTGCACCCTGTACCCTTGCTCATGGAATGAGACGGTTGATGAATTGACAATCAGGACCTTGTTCTTGCATGGCGGGCTGCTAGATGGTAATAAAGTAAAAATGGGCCTTCCGAGGCCAGACATTTTCCGGGATCTTGTAAACTAGCGGGCCTGATCTTTTTTTTCTTCAATCTTTCTCTCGACCGATGGCTGGAGGGTGTCTTATTAGATGGCATACGTGCTCACGGAGAGTGAGTCTGGTGATGTCTGGTGTTCCAGTGAGAAGTCTCTTTTTTCAGCGATGGCAAGAAGAGGTGGAAGACAGGAAGAGCGATTTGGAGGGTCCAGACAAGAGAACGTTGATCACATCGATGATTTTTGTGTCGTCTCTGGTGGAAGACGTTCTACCGAGCGGAAGGAGGAGCAAAGGTGTGCTACAGTCACCGAAGCCAACCTGCTGTGGAGTAATTCCTCAGTTGTTGATGTGTTCAACAAAATTGTCAAAGGAAGTTTAGTGTACGAAACTTCCGTGTTACGGACATTCAAGAACTGTTCATACACCACTCATCAATACACGACTCATCATACACCACTCATCAGTACATCACTCATCATACACCACTCATCATACACCACTCATCATACAC